CAGGCACCCGCACACACACGGGTCTGCAGCATCTCCCAGCATGACCACACCCCTCGTCACCCCGGCTCCCCTGGGCCGAGCACCTTCTCCCCGCACGCTGGCATCTGTGGCCACCGTCTCCACGTGACAGAGGCCACGTGTGACACCGTCCCGGCAGGCCGTCTCACCGGGGGCTGGGGCGGGGGCCACGAGAGAGGCCACACAACCTGAAAGTCAACTCAGGCCGTGGTTTGAGAGGAGCTTCCCTGGGTCCCAGGATTGGGGGTGCTCAGCCCGGGGAACCCGTCAGGAGCACCTCCCCACTCGGTGCCCGGCACCCGGAGCCGGAGAGAAACCAGGGCTCCTGACCACGGACACCCCTGGCTCCTAGCAGCGTCCCCAGGGCCTGCTGGTCCGCCGAGCCCCCTTCACACTGAAGAGTCACCCTGAGAACAGGCTTCTGCAGGAGGAGGACTGCAAGCTGCCGTACCTCCAGAAGCCAGGGCGTGGGAGTTGGCCACCCCAGGTGGAGCCCGGACCCCGGGCGGGGCGGGGGGTGCAGTGCCCCGGCCCGCCTTGGCGGCTCCTGCGTCTGTCTCCTCCGGGTCAAACCCCACCCCAGCTCCAGGACACCTGCGCAGGCAGCTCGCCGGGCACAGGCGCTGAGTGCTAATGTGCCCTCCCGCCCCTCCAGCCCCGGGCACAGGCGCCGAGTACTAACGTGCCCTGCCGCCCCTCCAGCCCTGGGCACAGGCGCCGAGTGCTAACGTGCCCTCCCGCCCCTCCAGCCCCGGGCACAGGCGCCGAGTACTAACGTGCCCTCCCGCCCCTCCAGCCCCGGGCACAGGCGCCGAGTGCTAACGTGCCCTCCCGCCCCTCCAGCCCTGGGCACCCCCACGGGCAGCAAGCCCCCAGGCAGCTGACGGTTCAGCGCCAGGCACGGGCAGACATTCCCTCCCACCTGAGCAGTCCTGCCCAAAGGTGCCAGCACACACCAAGCCCGCCGCAGAGGAGGGAGTGGGGGCTCGGGGGGCCAGGAACCTAGCAGGGTGGCCCAGCCGTGGGGCAGTACGGGGCATGAAGCCTGGGCCCGCCGGGGGCCAAGCTCCCGGCCAGCCCGTGTCCTGCGCCAGGCCGCCCCTGGGCCCCAGACCCTCGGCGTGCGCTGGGTGCTCCTTCCAGCTCAGGGGCTCCCACCTCCCGGACCGGCCCCCCCGCCCACCGTGTCTCTCGGTGCTCAGGGTCTCCTAGGCGCCCTCCTCCTCTGCTGGTAGCCCTGGTGTACGGGACACAGGGGGCTCCTCCACCAACGCCAGGCCAGGGCGAGGCGCTGGACATGCAGAGGGCAGTGGGTCCAGAAACACGTGGGCCTGGGGTGGCAGTGCAGAGTCTCCGGACAGTGAGGGGGAGACCAGGGAACCAGGTCCCGGAGAACGTGACGTGGGGAGAAGCAGAAGGAACCCCCAGCTTCACAGGGTGCTGGGGGCCGAGGAACAGTTAGCGGAAAGTAGTCAGTGTGAGTCCGTCACTCATGTCCAGCTCTGCGCGACCCCATGAGCTCGAGCCCACCAGGCCCCTCTGTCCATGGGATCCTCCAGGCAAGAACACTGGAGTGGGTTTCCTTTCCCTTCTCCAGGGGATCTCCCCGACCCAGGGATCGAACCCGGGTCTCCTGCACTGCAGGCAGACTCTTTACCCTCTGAGCCACCAGGGGAGCCTCTGGGCGTCCTAAAGGGCCCGGTGGGGAGACCAGGGAGCCCGACCACCTCTGCTGGCTCCCCTTCCAGGCCTGTGAGACCCTGACTCGAGCCTGGGGTGAGAGGGGCACCTGGGGCTGGTGGGGGGGATACAGCTCAGGAACTGACCTCCACTTTCAGAAGGGCGGGTGGGCTCTGCCCAGCAAACAGCCAGGCCAGCTGCCAGCGCCATCAATGATTAACGCCCGCTGTGAAGGTGCCGCCCAAACCGCCGGGAAGTGGTTGGGAACCCGGGAAGGGCAGGGACGGGACAGGATGCACTCCCGAGGCCCCCCACCAAGCACCCCCCCCAAGCCTCCCCCCAGTGTCCAAGCTTCTCCCACTAGGAGGGACGCAGGTGGAGGGGACTCGGGGAAACTGAGGCAGGGGGTTTCTCCCTGGCTGGCGGTGGGTGCAGCCGGGAGGAGGCAGGTGTCTGCTTGTGTCACCCTGCAGCTCCCAAGAGGTGGGGTTGGGGGGAAGGGGTGTCAGGGAGGGAGAAGGCGAAGGAGAGAGGAGCGGTCCCAGGGGCTCCTTGCTTGGCAGGAGGGACAAGGAACCTGGGGGCACCCTCCACCTAGCCTTCCACGGTTCGGGGCCGGGGGCCTGGGCCAGTTGGGAGGCTGGCTACGGGACCCTTGGGCCCGCCTCCACTACAGGCGTCCCCCCCAACCAGACAGCCCCCCCAAGGCCCATGAGCAGAGAGGCCACGGCACCCATCATGCTCCGAGTTAGAGTAGGCGCCACCCCACAGTGAAGAGCCTCAGACCAGGACTGGGGGCAGCAGGCAGGAAGGCCAGGCGGGCAGGGGCAGTGCCCTGCCCCCTGACCCCGCAGACAGGGCAGGCCGGGTGCGCACAGGAAGGGCTGCTCTGCTCTCGGCTGGAGCAGGGGTTCCCCGACCAGGAGAGGGACAGGATATCCTGGTCTCCTTCCCCAGCTGTGCCTGCGACAGTGTGCCCAGCCCCGCGGGGCAGCGGACAGCAGCTCTCACACCCACGCGGGCCCCGGCCCTTCAAGGCCAGGCTCATCCTTCCTGGGCCGGAAACCCAGCTCAGCCTGGGTCGTAACAACCATCCTCCCCTTTCACAGTCGGCCTCACCAAGGACAGAGCTCTCTCTCTGCTCCTGTCTTGGACCCTGCCAGAGCCTCTGCGGGTACCGTCCACCCCTCTTCTCGGGGCTGCGACCAGCCTCTGGCCACTCAGCCCAGGCTGCCCCTGCCACCCTAGCTTGAAGCCAGGTGCCCTCAAGAGACTGGCCAATTCAGAGTGTCCCGTGTCTTTTGGCAATCTCCTAGAGACGAGAGTACACCTTCCCGGGCCCCAGGGAAGCCACGTCGCCTGCCCGGCCAGGGTCGACCTGCGCCCCACCCTGAGTGGGGGGCTGCACTTGCCTCTTACGGACAGGGACGCGGGTGGGAAAAGACTGGCCCAAGGTCACCAGGCCACTCGCAGGGCCTCGCCTCCCCAGCTCCTTTTCCCCACAGGGGGAAGCCGCTGGGCCACTGTCCCCAGAGGCCGCCACGTCCCCAGAAGCCACCCCGGCCCTACAGCTCCTGGGGAGGCTGGGCAAGGCAGACCGTGCTGAGCAAACTTCCGAGAGCTAAACAATCGGAATCAGGAAGAAAACACAAGTGTAAGCAGTGACTTCCTCTGGGGTGCGGCGGGCCCTCTTCCTCCAGCAGGCACCGCGGCCGCCAGGGAGCCAGGGCGAGGCGAGCGCCCCGGGCCTGCGACCCCGGGATGCGAACCGGTGGCCTGTCTGCAGGCCCCTCACTCAGCAGCCCTTGGGGGGTGTGGAGGCACTGCTGACCCCCGAAGCGGTGCTCTGCCCGGTCCTCCCATCTGTGCCCGGTGCTGGAACGCAGGGTCCCAGGCCAGAGTGGCGGCTGGGCAGGGTCTGCGTCGGGACTGGCTGTGGGCTCCCCGACGGTAAGCACCTCGGGGAGCCTGGGACCCCGCAGGTGATGGATGTGCATGGCAGCTCCCACGAGCCTGCTGTTGGCGGGGTGCTCACATAGCCAGCACCAGACGGGGCGCGGTCCCCCGGGGTCGGTGCACACACACATCCCCCAAACCCCAAGACAAGCCTCTGATGCTGCAGCCAAGGGCAAGGCCGCCCTCTCCGCAGACAGCCATGGCCACCGCGAGGTCCCCTCAGCCCCCTCCGGAGGCGGGAAAGTGGGGTCGGGAGGACCGTGGCCACTCTGCACCTCTGAGGACACTGTCTCCAGGCCTGGCCCTGCTGCTCTGGAAGGGCCACCCTGCCCACACCCCTAGTACCACCAAGCTCGGAGGGGAGAAAGTGAGGGACACAGGCTGTGCCCCCCACCTCGCCGTGCCTGCCAAGACTCTGCTCCCCGGCCACCCCTCTGCTCCCCGGGGCCAGTGACAGCCCTGGACACCCTGCAGCCAGCAGTCTCCCAGCCCCAGGCCAGCCAAGGTGGAAGGGCCAAGCACCTGCCTCAACCGACGGAGGTCGGGGGAGGCCCCTCTGGGCACCTCCAGAGCACCCCGTGGATGCCAAGCCCAGGCTCACAGGCCGGAACCACATGGAGAGGCCACTGACCAGGCGGCTGGACCAGGCAGGGGCAGGACCAGGTGCTGCCAATAGGGCCCGGCTCTGGCCTGGCACATGGCTTCCTCCAATCCACCAGCGACCAGCAGAGTCAGGGCCCCCCTCTCTTCTCTTGCCCCAGCCTTGACCCCTCCAGGCCCCTCTGCCTCAACCCAGATTTCTAGGAGCCGGGTCAGGTTCACGTGGGGCCTTGGGCAGCCCCCTCGGCCATGCTGACGCCTCAGCCACAGCACAAGGCCGGCCACCGTCTGCGAAAGCCTTGCTCTGCTGGCCCGGGAGATCCCCTCCCCTGTTGGGGGGCACCGGGACCCTGTCTTCTCTTGTTTGTCAGCCCCCCAGAGTTCTCTCCCCTGGTTAAGTGCTCTCAGAACAATTAACACCTGGGCCAGCCCTGCGGGGCCCAGCAGACCAGCCCTGGGCACGGGCACTGCTCCCAGCTGGTTCCCGCACCCACACATGCCCGGGCAGCGCCAGCGGGGAGCTCCCCACCCTCGCGGGGTCAGACCTACAAGGCCCTGAACTTCACCTGACAGGCTCCCCGCTGTTTCTGTCTTCCCATTAACCCTTCCCTTCCCTCCCAGCGGGTCGACGCCGCAGGTCTGGCAAGGTCCCTCTGGCAGCAGGTGGCACCGGGACTTCGCTGCCCGAGCGCCCTCCCCAGTCCCGCGGAAAGCCCTTCCCGGTGCCGGCCGGCGGCGATACTCACACAGCGAAGTGGTAGACGAAGCACTTCCAGCCGGTGGGGCGCTCGAGGAAGTTGTAGACGCGGCCCTGGATGTGAGTGCGGGCAAGCAGCGGGCGGCGCGCGCTGTAGATGGAGACGCGCGGGTCCAGGCTCACGGGCGGCCGCGGGCCAAGGTCGGCGGCGGCGGGGGGCGCGGCGGGCGCAGCGGGGGACGTGGGGCCCGGGGCGCCAGGCGGGGCGATGGGCGCGTAGAGCGCGCTGCCTGCCGGATTGCCCTCGGCCAGCTCCAGCGAGAAGGGGCACTTCTTCGCCAGGCCCGCGCTGCCCCGCCGGGCTCCCGGCAGGCGGCCGCCGCCCCAGCGCTTCCTCTCGGCCCTGGGAGGGGAGGTGGNCTTCTGGGTGCCCCAGCACGCGCTGCAGGCAGAGAACGCGGTCCGGTCGGTGCCCACAGGGCCAGTGAACTCTGGAGGCCGGCGGGGAGCGTCCGGGCCCTCGTGGGTCAGCATCCGGCCCGCTGGGGGATGTGTGCTCTGGAGGACACGGGAGTTCCTGCAGGCTTCCTGGGCAGGTCAGGGGAGAGGCCTTGGCGGAGGACTTTCTGGTCCTGCTCGCCCTCTGGGCAGGGCTGCTGAGGTGCCCTGTCTCCCCCGAGTGGCAGTCACGATGCCCAGGTGGATCAGAAGGACTGCACGCGTGCCCCTACCCAGCGCTGGCATTTGAATCCCTGCATGTGGACTGGCCTTCGGGTGGAGAAAGGATGTCAAGTGGAAAAAACTGGCCTCTCTTAGGACATCGCCCCAGAAAGAGGAATAACTGCCCACCACATCAGGGACTCGTAACTTGGGAGACACTTCCCAGGTCTTGACTGAGCACCCCGGGCTGCTTTATTTCAGGTACTGTCCCATCAGAAAGTCAGTTCTATGGAAGACTGTTACTACTGTGAAGATTTGAGCAGGAAAAAAAAAAGAGGGAGAAGTAGATGAAACAGAGTGATGGGAGTTTTCAGGTGAGAATATTTGATAAACTTCCCAGGTGGTTCAGGGTAAAGAACCAGCCTGCAATGCAGGAGACACGGGAGATGTGGTTCAATCCCTGGGTCAGAAAGACCCCCTGGAGAAGGGAATGGCAACTCCAGCATCCTTGCCTGGGAAATCCCATGGACAGAGGAGCCTGGTGGGCTACAATCCACGGGGTCGCAAAAGATTTGGTGACATGACGTATCAGCTAAGAGCTGAGACTCTGCAAATGCAGCTCAAAAAGTGGGATAAAAGAGAGACGGCTTCCCTGATGGCTCAGTGGCACGGAATCTGCCGGCCAGTGAGGGAGACGCGGCTCCAACCCCTAGTCTGGGAAGATCCCACGTGCTGTGGAGTGACTAGGCCCGTGAGCCACAACTACTGAGCCGGGGCTCTTGAGCCGGAGCCACAGCTGCTGAAGATCTGCGCCCTGGAGGCCCCGCTCCACAGCAGGAGAAGCCACCGCGGTCAGCAGCCCGCACGCCGCAGCTGAAGAGCAGCCCCTGCTCACCGCAAGCAAGCAACGCCCGAAGACCCAGCTCAGCCAGAAATAAGGAAGTTAATTAAATTATCCAAAAAATTTAAAAAAGAGAGGATTTGGATCAACATTTAAGTTTAGAGAATATCAATACCTTTCAGGAAAACTCTTCTTGTTTGCTTCCTTTTTTTCTTGTATTTTCCCCAGTTACACAGGAACCAATTAGACTATCACTCAAATGTGAACAGAAAGACACTATCCAAAATACTAACACTGATTCAGCTATGATGCAGTTATTAGTGTTACCTAACTAGGTGTTTTGAACATATGTGTAAAAATTAGTGGTTTTCTGTTGGTGGGGATGTAAATTCATACAGCCGCTATGAAGAACACTATGGAGATTCCTTAAAAAACTAGGAATAAAACTACCATATGACCCAGCAATCCCACTACTGGGCATAAACCCTGAGAAAACCGTAATTCTAAAAGATACTTGTACCCCGTGTTCACTGCAGCCCTACTGACAGTAGCTGAGGCACGGAAGCCAAAGATGGAGAGGCTTCCTGCAGGCAGCAAAAACAAGACCGAGAGCTGCCTGGGGCTCAGATCAGGAACTCCTCACTGCCAAATTCAGGCTTAAACTGAAGAACGTAGGGAAAACCACTAGACCATTCAGGTATGAACTAAATCAAATCCCTTATGGCTAGACAGTGGAAGTGAGAAATAGATTTAAGGGACTAAATCTGGTAGAGTACCTGATCAACTATGAACGGAGGTTCATGACATTGTACAGGAGACAGGGAAAAAGACCATCCATCCCCAAGAAGAAGAAATGCAAAAAGGCAAAATGGTTGTCTGAGGAGGCCTTACAAATAGCTGTGAAAAGAAGAGAAGCGAAAAGCAAAGGAGAAAAGAAAAGATACACCCACTTGAATGNCAGGAGTTGGTGATGGACAGGGAGGCCTGGCATGCTGCAGTCCATGAGGTCATGAAGAGTTGGACATGACTGAGGGAATGAACTGAACTGATGTGTAAAATAGATCGCTAGTGGGAGGCTGCTGTGTAACATAGTGCGAATTTGCTATATAACACAGGGAGCTTGACCTTGAGCTCTGTGACAACCTAGAGGGGTGATGGGCAGCGGAGGGAGGCTCAAGAGGGAAGAGACATATGTAAACTTGTAGCTGATTCACATTGTTGTTCGGGAGAAATCAACACAATATTGTGTAGCAATTATCCTGAAATTAAAATTTTTTTAAATTTAAATTAAAATAAATAAATAAATTTTTAAAAAATTAGTTCATTTATTTAGGGAGTAAAATGAGAAGGGAAAATGTTTTCCTTCCCAGAAGGAGAAAAACGAAAGTCAGCTCTTGTTGCTGGACCGAGTGCAGCTTGGCCCTTCCTGCTGACTGCCCGCACTGTGACTGGTGCCTGCATGCCGCCGGCACAGCCTGTATTCGCAGAAGGAATGAATGAAGTGGGTCCCCACCTGTGCCAGGCACGTGGAGACTCAGGGCGGCTGAGGCAGCAGGGCCTTGCTGGGAAGTGCATCATTTAGGAGACAAAGCGGGCAGCCAGCCAGAAGAAGGTGGGAAGTCGCCTCCGCAGGGCCCGGGGAAGAGCCAGGGCACCTGCAGGCGCTCAGCCAGCCCCTTCCGAATGCAGGCATGTGTGAGTGAGGGGTAGGGACATCCACACCCCGTTGAGCAGGAGGAAGATGAACTTTTAATAGGCGCTGTTGGCACAACTGGAGAGTCAAGAAAAAAGAAAAAAAAAAACCAGAGCTGCTCCATCCTGCACACAATGCCCAAGGATAAACTCTGAAAGGCTCAGAGGCGTCACTGTGAAAGTTGAAATGAAGCCATGTGGGCTCTATGAGAAAATATGAATGAGTTCCTCAACAAACTCTACGGAGAAAAAACATCCCCAACTGTGGCTGAAACCCAGAGACAATAGCTGAAATCAACCAAGCAACACAAACAAATGACAAACTGGGAAAGAATTTGCTAACAGCAGCCAAGGTAAGGGTCACGAGCACTGTTACCTAAGGAACGTCTGAAACCCAGAAGATGAGAGACAGCCCTGGGGGCTAGCAGGGGAGGACGTGAACCGCCCAGAGGAAAAAGAATTCGTGATCTCTGCTCTTGCGAAAAAATGCCCAGCGTCACTCGGAACAAAAAAATGTAAATTTGAAGGTACACAGAGAGATCATCCCTTTCCTATCTGATGGGCAAAAATCCAGGCATTCCCGCAGGCTCCATGGGCGGAGCTGAGGGAGAGCAGGTGTTTTTGCCCTGTCACCTGCCGGACGGGGGTCCTGGCAGCATTAGGAGAAGCGCTCCTGTCGTGTGGTTGGGCTGGTTAGTTCCACTCCCAGGAACCGGCCCACAGACACATAGGAAAAGTGGCAGACAACACACACACAGGCTGCGCGTTGCGACTTACTTGTGTTGTGTGTGCGTGCTAAGTTGCTTCAGTCCTGTCCAACTCTTTGCGACGCTTTGGGCTGTAGCCCACCAGACTCCTCTGTCCATGGGATTCTCCAGGTAAGAGTACCGGAGTGAGTTGCCATTCCCTCCTGCAGGGGACCTTCCCAACCCAAGGATCAAACCTGGGTCTCTTAAACATCTCCGGCATTGGCAGGCAGTTTCTCTACTGCTAGCGCCACCTGGGAAGCCCTTATTTGTCTTAGTGAAAGAATAAAAACAGCCAGAACGTCCCTCAGTTAGCTGAACCATGTTATGGTACAACATACCATGTTATCAATAGTGTCGCTAATACTCCAAGGACAAAAGGAACCCCAAGAGTCACATCGTTAGTATTGATACTGGTATTGCTGCTTTGAAATCATATACACGTGTAATATATGTAGCACATGTGTCATGTTAAATTTCTTAGGAACCAGGATTTTCAGCACAAGAGAAAAGAGAGAGAAATATGAAATCAAAGTGCAAACCCATCCTTAAATTTGAGTTGGGAATGTTAACATAAACTCCTCAGCTATTTTCTCAAAACAAGACCACTTTCTAGCTTTGACTGCTGAAAAGTTGTCGCATCAAAAAGAAGTATGGATTTCACTGCATAAAAATGATATATCAAATAAATGGGGGGAGAAATGGAAACAGTGGCAGATTTTATTTTCTTGGACTCCAAAATCACTGTGGATGGTGACTGCAGCTATGAAATTAAAAGACACTTGTTTTTTGGAAGAAGAGTTATGACAAACCTAGACTGCATATTAAAAAGCAGAGTCATCACTTTGCTGATGGCCTTCCCCTGTGGCTCAGACAGTGAAGAATCCACTGCAATGTAGTTTGATCCCTGGGTCAGGAAAATCCCCTGGGGAAGGGAATGGCAATCCACTCCAGTATTCCTGCCTGGAGAATTTCATGGACAGAGGAGCCTAGTGGGCTACAGGCCAAAGGGTTGCAAAGAATCAAACACAACTGAGTGATGTTTCTTTCACTTTGCTGACAAAGGTCTGTATAGTCAAAGCCATGGTTTTTCCAGTAGTCATGTGTGGATGTGAGAGTTGGACCATAAAGAAGCTGAGTGCTGAAGAACTGATGCTTTCTAACTATGGTGCTAGGGAAGACTCTTGAGAGTCCCTTGGACTGCAAGGAGATCCAACCAGTCAATACTAAAGGAAATAAGTCCTGACTATTCATTGGAAGGGCTGATGCTGAAGTTGAAGCTCCAATCCTTTGGCCACCTGATGCAAAGAGCTGACTCACTGGAAAAGACCCTGATGCTGGGAAGCATTGAAGGTGGGAGGAGAAGGGGACGACAGAGGATGAGATGGTTACTTAGCATCACCGAGTCACTGGACATGGGTTTGAGCAGACTCCGGAAGGTGCGGGACAGGGAGGCCTGGTGTGCTGCTGTGTCACAGAGGTGGACACAGCTGAGTGACTGAAGATGCTACATAAAGTGAGCCTATTTTAGGAGAAATATCTGCTTTTACATAACTGCTAATACAACAGGTTAGATGGAAATGTAGAGTGAAAAG